AATAATTATTCTAATTATAGTTTAGATCTTTTATATTTACAATGAGAAATTTATCATGTATTTTATTATTTTTATCTGCAGTTAATTACATGAATGAAAACATGAAGCTTAATAAGTTGTACTTGCACATAATTTACTTGTAATCTTGAATTTTAAGTAATACAGTATTTCATGTATAAAAGATGGATTTTAAAATTTTTTATCAAATGTTTTATAATGTAGTATAGATATATAGATTTGTGATCATAAGAGATCATACTGTTTTCGTAAAACTCTGAGACCATATAAATTAAATTAAACCTTCACAACAAAATGTAATAAAAGTAAACCTTCACAGTATTTTTTGTTGTGAAAGTTCAGTGTTTTTTGTACCTTCACAATGTTTTGTGATAAGGTTTCAGTGTTATTTTCTGGTCTAACGTGTCTCGAGTTGGGTTTTGATGAGAAGGAGATTTAAGATGAGAATCATAAGAAAGGATCTTCACCCCTTCGATGCATATTAGGATAAGATGTACCAGATGAACTCTCCGTATCAAGCGCGATTCATAGGTTGTTTTTGATATTAAAGGTGATCAAGAGTCCAAACCCTCTTTTTACGTTTCTCACGTTAACCATTTTTCTCACACGATTCTTTGTGTGTGTATGTGTGTATAATCATGTGAGAATATGGGTTAAGGTGAGACGTGTAGGAAAAGATATGACCCTTGATCACTTTTAATCCCAAAAGAACCCATAAATTGCGCTTTAGAAAGGAACTGATATAGTATGGCTCATTAGTGTTGATCTAGTGGTTATTTTCAATTAGGATTGATCCAATGGTGTGATAACCAGATCCTGGTTATTACCCAAGGTATTTAATACGTGATTATTTGATTTAATGACTACGTGATAAGCATGATAAACTGATATGTTTGATACATGCTGATATGCAAATTTGTGCATTTGTTTGGGTAAAGGTATATATATATATATATATATATATTTATATGTAAATATATTTATGTATGCATAAATATGGAAGTATATATATATTTGTATGCATGCAAGATTAATGCATGAAATATGTATGCATATGTGTATGCATGAATGCATGTGGGTTTTCATGCATGAGGTGGAAGGGGTTTGGAAGGCGGTTCTAGGCCGACCTTTCCATTTTTGGGAGGTATAAAAAGGGGGGTTCACCTTTTCATTCATTTTCCCTGCTATTTTAAGAAAGTTGAGAGGTTTTGAAAGAAGAGTGCTGTCCGGTTTAGTAAAAAGGAGGTGTTTGCCAGTTGATTTCAAGTGTCAAAGTTTCAAAAGGATTGATTTCTAGCATTTTGGTGTCAAAAGCTTTAAAAGGTGAGTGGTTTCTAAATCTTTT